GAGGTGGGACTGTTCAGCCTGGAGAAGAGAAGGCTGCGGGGAGACCTGAGTGCGGCCGTTTAGGGCTTAAAGGGGGACGATAGGAAAGATGGGGGAAATCTTTTTAGCAGGGCCAGCTGTGACAGGACAAGGGGTGATGGTTTTAAACTAAAGGAGGGGAGATTTAGACTGGATCTAAGGAAGAAATTCTTTACAGTGAGGGTGGTGAAACCCTGGCAGGGGTTGCCCAGAGAGGGGGTGAAGGCCCCATCCCTGGGAACATTCCAGGCCAGGTTGGACGGGGCTGTGAGCAGCCTGATCTGGTTAGCGGTGTCCCTGTTCCTGCAGGGGGGGTTGGGCTGGGTGACCTCTAGGGGTCCCTTCCCACCCAAAACATTCTATGATTCTATAATCACTATGATGCTTACCTTCGTGCTAGCGCATCGCAATGTCTGCCAAACAAAAATTAGTAACATATAAAAATAATGCAACATGAATTCAGGCAATGGGTTAAAAGATGTCTGGCTCGTAGATTTTGTTCTCATTAATGGGAACTTTTGCTGCAGGATGTTCATGGCAAACATCCGTTGTAAGGCGTGTAGTGTGGTACGTGATGTTTTTGTCAAATTACATATATATATCATAGTAAAGTTTGTAGATCACTATGAGATCTAGTGGCATGATAAGAAAACTCAAAATTGGTCCTGTATATCTAGTGTTTATAGCTTTATCGTATTGAGCATTACTGATATCTCCGTTATGAAGACCCTAGAGCTCATATGCAGATGATAATGCTATGGAAGGGGCAGGGTTAAACTGCATTGCATTGCTTTTCATGGTTTTCCTCACACGGTGATAACTAAATCATCTTTTCATCTTTAGTCCCGACAGACACCGGAGGGAGAATTTCTGCCGCTAGACCAGTGTGAACTGGATGTTGGATTTGGAACTGGAGCTGACCAGCTGTTTTTAGTTTCCCCATTAACCATCTGCCATGAAATTAACTCAAAGAGCCCCTTTTTTTGTCTCTCACAAAGATCACTAAGAAGTGAGCAATTTGAAATAGTTGTCATCCTTGAAGGAATCGTTGAGACGACCGGTAAGATTTAGAATAATGTGCATGCTCTAATTTTTAGTCTTTGTTTTCAGTTCTGGTATTTGGCGAGGCAGCTGCTAATCCTTTCAGGATGCTAATCCTGGATGCTTCAGAATATCCTACCATATTCTGAAGAGTTTCAGTGGCCTTTACCAGCCAACAGGAGACCTCCTTTCCCCTGGTGCACTGCATTACCCATGCCCAAAGAGGCCAATACATCCAAGAAGAGATGGACCCTGCCACTCTTTGAGCATGGCGTGTAGAGGAGTACAACACCCTTATGAGAGGCCTGTTTTAAGGACCACCACTCCAAAAGAACATTGAATTTAAAAGTTGCCAGTGCCACAAAATCACTTTCAGCCTAGCTTGCGTTAAATCGAATGCAAAATAACAAATGCAGTTTTACAGTACAAATACAGCCCGCATAGTCGCAAAGATTGTAGGAACACATGGTTATCGGCAAATATGAGCAGGGCCTTTGGTTTTTTTAACTTTTTTTTTTTAAATTTCTGATGGCGTAGTCCAGATGACAGCTGACTTTGTGGCCTTCTCTTTTGAGGACTTAATTCTTTTATGAATCCTGTGACAATGAGCTGCGGTTACATAAGAAGCTCTGCGTCGAGGATCTATGCCTACTGTTACAGTCCAAATTATTCAGTAGGTTCATGAATATTCTGATCTTCCTCTCCCTTCTTGTGAGGATTTGTTAAATCTTGATTAATGAAGGAGCATTTTCATCCTTCTTTCAACAAGATTACCAGTTGCCCGGTTCCTGCCTTAGATACAGTAATGTCCTTTTGGCGCAGCCAAGTGCGGTCATCTCATGCTGGACAGGAAGCAGAGCTGACCGATTACTATCTGTGTGCTGGACTGAGCCTTAAATAAAACAAAAAAATACACAATCCACCGGGGCAGAATGCTCTTTCATGTCGAGTGTGCCAGTCTTTAGATCCCCACAGAATCCTCTTCTCATCCTGCAAATGAACCATGTATCTTAGATAATCAGGCATTACCGCAAGGGAAACATTTTACACTTGTCTGAGAATTAACATAGCAGTAACCGGAGAGCAAATCAGAGTTTGGGCTTGCTGACTGCTAATTCTGCCTCTGAAGAGTACCACAGCAGGAAGTCTTAAAGTTCTTCGCACCTGGGATATTTGTATTAATTATCATCAGCACGGTTGTGCTGAGATTGCGACAGATTTGTTGCCTCGGTGAGAACACGCGTTAGCTGTCAGTTCACACGCAAATACTGCCAGTGATGTACGTTTGCGCTGAGCGGAACAAATTCTGCAAGCTTCGCAGCAGTGCCTGTGTCTTAGCATGGAAGGCAGCTGCAGTGGCTCTGCACAGCTTTTGTCTTGACACACTATTTGGAGAAAAAGTAGCAGAGCCTATAGAAGGAATAGAAGATTAAATTTTTCATTTAGCTTTGGCTCCCCCCACACCCGATCTTTGCCAGAGAATTCTGTAAGCCTCTGCCAAGCAACGGTTCTTTCTCCCAAGGTGACTTCCAAGAATCAGCATTATGTACAAACAATAAGATTGTTGTTGCTAATGAGCTAATACTGTCTTCATTTTGTGTTTTGCTTTTACAAAAGCTGTTTGCTTGGTGTGAGTCTGCAATATTTAATTCAATATTTGCATAAAAATCTAGTCAATCAATTGGAGGCACTCCGTTGACTGTTGGGAGATTGACTGGGAACAATCGCTCCATTTTATAATCTATACATTTGTTAGCTTACAGGCTACAATTGACTTTTATCCGCCAGCCTTACCTTGTATTTTTTGTTCCATGTGCCGGTTTGCTTGCTCACATGAGAATGTCATGCTCTTGTCCCTGTTTCCATAGGAATGACGTGTCAAGCTAGGACTTCGTATACAGAAGATGAAGTTCTTTGGGGTCACAGATTCCTCCCAGTAATGTCCCTAGAAGATGGCTTTTTCCGTGTCGATTATTCTCAGTTTCATGCTACGTTTGAAGTCCCCACTCCTCCTTACAGTGTTAAAGAGCAAGAAGAAAACCTGTCCCTACCATCTCCTTTGAATAGTCCTGTCGATAATAACAAACCCAGGCGAGAACAGGTTTGCTCACTTGACTGTGTTGATATTGCAGGAGAGAAAAACAAGCTCCCTTTTAAACTTCAGAAGATCAGCTCAAGAAAGGAAGACCTTCCAAGAAGAGCCCTGAGAATGAGTTCCAGTAACACCGAGAAGACTTGCAGTACCGGAGATCTCTTGAAAATTCAAGAAATAAGTCCTATCTCTGACGGTGAAGACAGTGATGACAGGATACAGCTGAAAGCCTTCAAAATAAATGCTGAGGCTTTGACTCAGTCTACCGGTGACCTCGAGGTACAGAAGAACCCTCCAAGTATGTGTGCTTTAGAGATGAAACTGGAAGATAGTTTTCCTGCCAAACTTCGAAAAATGAACTCTGATCGCCTCTCTTAAGAGCTAAGAGCAACAGGAGTTGCTGCTGATAAACTGCATTTGAGACTGCTGACCTGAAAGAGCTGTCTTACAGTGAAGTCATAAGATGTTCTTGCCGCTTTCAGGAAGAATGATCCTTTTTGTATAATTGTTCTGTACAGATCCCACTTAGGTAGCATAATAGGACTTGGAGGGGCAGGGAGGTTAGACTGTCGTGCCAAAGAGATCGCTGCCCTAATGATGTTTTTTGGCATGCTCGTTGCAAACCTACATTGTCTTCCATATATGCAAATGCTTTTTCACAAAGCGAGGACCAGCTCCTTAGTCACAGAGTGAAATGTTCAGAGATCAAGCCAAAAAGGGTGTAAAACCAGCCGAAACACGATTTTGTGCAGCTCAGATCTTGGACTGTTCCTGGTGGATAGAACAGCAGAACGCAGGAAGAATCTGTGATGCTGCTCGGCTGTAGTCCAGTTGTCTCAGTGACGCCGCTGGAAGGTGGCCTTCCTGCGCAGCCCAGTGGCACGCGTCCTTCTTTCTCAGTGATTGTGGCGTCCCGGCTCCGTGCCCCCAGAATCTTGTTCGTTGTCGTTCAGGTACAGGAAGTGGTGTGCAATAGCCGTTTGTGTCGTTGACTCACACGAGCTCTCATAAACACGAGGACCATTTATCCTGTCCAAAATTAGACCCCAGCATTCCGTCGGGTGGATCACATGTTGAATTTTAACAACCGTATCACCGCTGACTGTGAAGGGAACTTGAGGTCGATAGCTCAACTTAATGGAATGTCTCATACCTCAACTTCATGAAGTTTTAATTGGGAAGCTCCTCGTAAGTAAATAAAAGCAAAGTGCTAGTTAATGCTCAGTCATTACAGGAATGGGCAATAGTGTGTACACATCTCAGAGTTTTATTAATGAATGGTGAGGGTCTTTGGTGTTGCTCTTTTTTTTTTTGCCTTCTCCATTTATGTACAATTCTTGATAATTTTGTAGATTTGACATTAATAATATTGTGCAATTTATTGCAGGGTAGAAGTCTGTTTTAACATAAATAGATTAAGATATTGAAGGAAAAGGCAGCACAGGTCTGTAACATGTTAAATGTTCTGGTTTTAAAACAAATCTTGCAGCAACTGACACTACTGTTTGCTTTACTGATCATCAGGAAATGGCGAGAACCAGACTTCGAGTTTCTTGGGTTTCCGGGGGCTCTACACTTCAGAAGAATTGCATTCCTATGCAGCTGTTCTGTGGTCCATCTCAGTCAGTGGATGAGGTCTTTTTTTTCCAGTTGCTAGCAAGCAAGCGTAATGTTTGGTAGCTCAGCTTATCAGGTGCAGAGCACTCCCCAACAGCAGGATCAAATTCTGCTCTTGTTACACGGACAGAATTCAGTCAAATTTAAAAGGGGCTGCTGTGGCTCTATCAGTTGGTAACGCACGCCTCAATGCCTAGAATAGAGAGGTAACGGGATATATCCAAGCCGGGGATGACTTGACTTGTGTAAATCGCTATTTCTTGCCTTAGATCTTCTGCCTATGGTGTGAAACTGGAAAATGGTATTTTGCACAGCAGTAGGATTGCTTGTTGCTTTTCCTGTTTGTTTTCACCATTGATTTCAACATTATATATGTGCTGAAATCTGTATATTCATTTATTAAATGTATTAGTATGGGATATTTAGATGACAGCGTGAAGTCTTGGTGGATGATGACTCGCCCCACTCTTCAGAACAGCCAGAATTAGTATAAAATACAATTACATCTACCTTGGGTCTCAAGCATTCTTGTGAGTCAGTCAGCTCTGAGTGCATTTCTAATAGACACAGAGACAATGAGCAGAAGTACCCCAAGTCTGCTTCTCCAGAGAGTTATGTGAAAGGCTGTTCCGCACATTATGCAACCGTCGGGCATGTAGGGCAGGAGTATTCTGTGCTGCGCGCTCTGGAGGATGGTCCTAAGCTATTTTCAGTTTTCTGTGCTTTTTTTTCTGGGCTGCTCCTGTAGCTGCAGAGTAGATTTAGTTGTGGCCTCCTGAGACTTCCCTGTAGACCCATCTCAGCGCTAAGCGAATCTTCACGCTCTAAATGAAGTACATCAGAGCTTGCAAGCCATATGGTGGTTTTCTGTGATGCCCGCTGTGACAAAAATAATTATCGAAGTACTTCTGGGAACCCTATGGTGACTCTGTTCCTGCTGTGTGAAGCAGAAAGATGTCTTCCTGAGACGGAGGGCTCCGGCGCACATCCCTCATAACACTGATACTCCCTGTGTATTTGCTCTGGAAAACAGTAAGGAAGGAGTGGGAAAACAAACTCTTACAAGCAAAATGACACAACAGGGTGCCCAGAGATCCAGGAGGGCAAGAAGGAAGAATGTTGCCAGCTTTGCCTGGCCCCAGGAGGATGCCAAGGGGCCCCTAGGGACTGCAGAGTCGTGGGTGACCGAGGGGTCAGGAGCCTGGGGCAGGGGCAGATCAGGCCCCAAACTGGAAACCAGGTGGGAGCAAACTATCCCCCAGCTCTGGGATTGCACAGGATGGACTGAGCAGGAGCAGGGAGCAGCATGTGCCCTCACTCTCTTGGCTGGCAGCCCAGCTGTGAGCTCGTCCTGCGGCTACAAACAGCCCCGCAGCCAGGGGTCCCCTGGAAGGTGCCACACCAGCACAGCGAGTCTCGGGGGATGCCTACGGCCTTTCGGCCGCCCGCCAGCTGCCACCTGATGTTCGGTGCTGGGTGATGCAGGCGGTCAAGATCACGACAAAAACTTTCCCCTGTGCTACCCAGCGTTCAGGTCTGCGCTCCGATCTGAGGTCTCGGTTTGACCCTGTGCAGGCAGGACACACTGTGCCAGCCTGGTGAGGCAGCGGGGAGCCGAGAGGCGTGAAATGTGCGTTCAGGCTGCTAGCCCAAGGGTGAGGCAGAAGCACAGACTGGTGCAATCAGGGTTTTCCCTCCCAAATACCAGAAATTCATTCTATCCCTGAAGGAAAAAGCTCGAGGGAGCCTGACAGCCGCTTGGTGACTTGCCACATCAAGGGCAAAGGCAGGAGCTGAGCCTTCCTTTCCAGACTGGTGAACGCCAGTCCAGTAGCAACTGTTCAGGTTTCAGACAGGGAAAGCATAATGGCACCAAGCCCTGTGGAAGTCTCAGTCCCAAGTGTTGTTTATGTGTAATAATTAATAAATGGTCGGTTTACTCTTTGTAGTCATGGCTGTGGCTCCGGCAGTTCCTTTGGCTCGGTAAGTGCCTGTGACAGTGCCCCAGGGAAAGCAGTTACCTGTTGTGTCTGGGAGGGGACCTGGTCCCAAGATTTCTCGGACCCCTTTGGGATCACTGGAGGTTCCCAGGCAGCCCCAGTGCCGTTTGCAGGGCTGCGGGGGGTTTCTTTTGCACTGCCAGGGACACTCAGGGCTGTTGATAGCATTTGCCATCATCCAGGGCCCCTCCAGGGCTGCGCAAGGTCCCCAGGCTGCTCCTGGTCGCTGTCAGCACCCTGAGGTGCCCTGGGTACGTCTGGGGTCAAGAGCAGGGGTCAGTGCCAGCGGTGCTGGGGGATTTTCCGCAGGCTGGGGTGGTGACTGCAGGCCACTGCCCAGGCCGAGCCCCGGAGCACGCCCTCTGGGTGTGCACCAAGGCCCTCTGTTTGCATCTGGGTACGCCCCGGAGCCCGCTGAACGCCCCAGGTCACGTTTGCCCCCATGCCCTCCTGTGCAGCCCAAGGCCCTGTGCTTGCACTGCACCATGCCACCATGTTTCCCGTTCAGCTTTCTCCCATCCCAGTTTTCCCAGTGCTTTCCTCGCACGCTCCAGGGTCACGTTTTCCTTCGTGCCTGGCCCAGCTCCCCCCCTCTGCCTTTGCCTTTTCTGTGCCCCCTGACCCCTAGGGTTTCCCTCGCTCCTGCTAATGTTTTCCTTTTTTTCTTTTTCATTTCATTGCACCCCAGTTCTCCCTTTGTTCTCCTCCTTTTTCCCCCCTTCAGCTTTCGGCACGCCCCGGAGGCCACAGCCGCCCTCAGGGCCCGTGTTCTTCCCGGGCCGCGGGCCTGGCTGGGGGGTGAGCAGCCCAGGGAATGCCCCCTC